AAGATTTTTCCAATGATTTAAAACATGTATGGCAATAATCTTATAGTATGATAAAATATAGCCAAAAGTGGTGAAAAGACAGACACCAACCCGTACAATAGATATAAGATAGTTCAATAAGAAATAATTGTTAAATAACAGTTACTGTGATAAAAGGATTTTCCACTGATTTCGTAATGGAACGTTATATTGCAAAATATGACATGATACAGAAGAAAATCAATTTTAAAATCAGAAAATAACATTGCAAATACTTCTTTTGGACAATTCAGTAACTCACAATAAATGTGTGTTGTTTAAAATACAATTTTAAATTAACAGCTGTTTCATTAAAAAGTATTATCCACATGGACAACATGTAAACAAATCTGTGGAGGGATCTTTAAGGGCTTATGGGGCAGAGCCCTAACGGGATTCACTTAGTTTTTATTTTGGTAACTCATCTAGGGACCAAGACCTTTCTTTGGACACCTCTACCAAGTTTCTACGCCCAGTCGTTCTCTCAAATTCATGGAGACAAAGTTTCCAATTAAATATTTAGATTCCCCCATGTTAATCTTATGGGAGAAAATCCAACTTTGGTGGAGGATCCTGCCCAAACTAATAAAGATTTCAAAAAACGAAAAAGACTTTGCAAAACTACAGATCAGGGTCATTCATTTGACACTTTAATCATCAAAATCGGTCCAAAAATGAGGGAGGAGTTCTGTTTACAAAAATCGGCTTAGCGTATTATATATATAATAGATAGATTACGCTGAAGGACTCCGAAGTAAATGTTGTCGTATCAATATTTGCAAAGTAACAATTTGTTCTTTTAAGGAAAATAATAGGATAACAAATATTAGTATTTTACTTTAGAAATAAACTACTTAATTGAATGAAAGGTATCGCTAAGAAATTGGAGTTATTCTACTAATTCGCATTCCGTTGCGCACGGGTAGAGTAACTAGTTAATAAATACAGCTCGTATGTTCTGTAGGTATTTGCCTACGTTGATAAAAAATCGTGTTAAGTCATCAATTATCACAGTAAACAGTTTATCAATAATTATTAAATTAATTAATGTTGGGCCAAGGTAGGCCTACTTTATAGCTTTTACAAGATCGACTCGCTCAGTGCTGATAGGCAATATGGCCACAGTATCTGTTTTGCATATCCAGTATTGAAGGCGGATTAACCTTACTTGGACTGACTGGTGTGTAGCTAAAGATGTATGTGACTTGTTTATAAATGCATTTGTACCAAAAAATACTAAATAGATCAACAATATTGTGCATTGAACGTCGTCGAGTTAAATTCATATCTTATACTTAAAATAAATCCAAAAAATAATTTCCATCTATTTTTACCAAGAAAAATGTCCAGTAAAAATTTATATTGTAATCCTTGAAATTGAAACTCACCAATAATGCTACCAATATTTGGTGTTTTCAAATTAACATATTATCATTGCATATAAGGGTAAATTCGTTAAAAAACTAAACAAATCTTACTATAAGCTACGTAAAAATATTATTCCAAGAAATCGAAGCAAAGTTTGACAAATCAAATCAAGCTACTTTGATTATATCTTTGTTATTGCTTTGTCTAATGAACTGAAACGGTTCTTTGTTTATGTTTTCAACTTGAGATCTTATTGAATAAACTTGGAAAACGTTTCAATGTGACTTCAAAGATAAATAAATCTTAGAATGGATTTATTTTCAACTCGAGCGTCCAAAGTAAATCAATAAAGCTTTTCACGAATTTCTCAGATAATGTTTCATTTTAATTTGTTTCTCGTAGAGTTTATTGCAATTCAAATAATTTATTTTAAAACTACAATTGATTTATAGTTATCAGATTTAAATTGTTTTGCAGACATAATTAAACTTTGTGCGTTGGTATTAAATAGTAGTAGTTTTATAATTTTTATGCAAAGTCTTAAGATATATTTATGTGTATACAAATTGGTGAAGTGTATGTTTTTTACTCTTATTTTATAGTGGATAATTGTTGGATATTTTTACTATTTTGGTTATTACTGCACAAGGCACAGGACCAATCAATTTTATGTAAAACGTTGTATTTAGTACACATCAATAGTGGCGAGAAATGAAAAAAGTAAACAGTAAAAAGCCCTATACCAGACGGAACTATAGTCTGTATGACGGAACCTGTCTTCTAACCCTTCGTATAAATAGGACAGGAGAATTAGAACTCACAAGACAGGCTTCATTATACATAGTATAACATTAAAACTGTCATCTGATGTATAAGCAAGATCTATGAGATATTTTCCATCATATTATGAAAACCGTAGTGAATAGGGCTACTATTTTGATATACAAATGCATTTTTAAAGATTTCCATCATATGTATATTTAATCCATGGTTCAAGTTAAGTAGTCATGCACATAAAACAAGTTTCAAATGCAAATTTAAGTGTTTATAAGCGTCAAGTCACTCATTCACAGTTCCTTTTGAATTCTTTTTCGCTAAACAAATAAACCTCCCCCGTACGTGATAAGTATGTGAGCCACGCCAGGACAATGCTGGCCAGAAATGCTTTCTATGTTTAACCATACCATGAACCACAAACCCAACATACTTATGCTAGCTCATCCTGCTTCCAGAGTCCTTAACATATGGCCTGTGAATATTCAGGCATACCTTGTTGAAACAGGGAAAAATATGAAAGGTATTTTATACGTATAATAATGGAAACAAAATCGTGAATTTATTTCTACAATTCATAAGAAAAATCCCTAGTAATAAAACTGTGAATATTGATCAAATAAAACTGAATTTCGATAAAAGTAAATAAAACCGCTATACTCAAGCATTAATATGTAACATTATTGTTTTCCTTCGTTAAAAATACCTCAGCTGTACTTATTTGTATGCTATTCTTTCAATTTATCACCTTATTAAAATCAGGTGTGATTATTTGTTTGTATTACTGTATTCGTTTTGTTTTCACCATAACTTAACCAATCAATAGTTTTATTAATATATTTTATGAAGTCAAACAGTGTGCAGCCCGTGGGTAACAGCTAGTATACTATAACAACTAACCAATCAGCGTTACAAAATGTAAAACTAAAAATATTAAATGGGCTTCTGTGAGTGCATATGCAGATTTATTATTGGTTATTGGTTAATTTACAACCAAACCAAGATACAACACAAAGAAATATCCGTGATGACTCCCCCTACATTACGAAAAATATTACTTTTTATGTAAACTCCCCCACTTTCCTTGTAAGTCTATATTAAAAAGAAGGCAACGAAATAAATTAGAGACTGAAAAATCGTAATATTAGTAAACATGCTATGCAGCTGTCAAGTCCGACGAAGTTGTATTTTCCCCTTCCATTTTAATTTGAAGAGAAACAAGTTTTGAATTCACACTAAAGCAGGCGAGAACATTTATATTAAAAGAAAACAATATTATTTGAGTGGGGAAGACAGCTATTGCGTCATTTTACATTGAAACTCTCAACAACACTTGTAACGGAGGGGTGTAAATATAGTGTTATTAACATTCTTTATCAATTGTGTGTAATTTAACACTATTTTATACGTTATAACATTTAATTTTTATTTAGACACCAATTTAAATTAGGAGGATTTATAGCAGAATGTAAGGTCAAGTTTGGTGTCAATTTTACTCAATAATGGTGTTCTAAATATAAAACGAAGGGTGTTCTCTATCTGTCCACGAAGATACGGTTGTTTCTTAAAATTGAATATATTGTTATCCGTCGAAGGAGAATGATTTATTTAAAGAGGATAGGGAGGGTGTTTTGTTTTGAATATATTTTTCCTCTACTATTGGGAATTAGTTATCGAAAAAGTATGTTTTTCAACGTCCACGGACGATGCTTTAAGACATAATTTTAAAACATATAAAAAACAATTTCAGCAATCCGTCTTTCCGTGTCCTATAGTTCCTTGTACTAAAACGTTTTGTGTACATAATTTTATAATTTTGAGGCTCGCGTCAGATCGTAATCAATTGTAAGCTAAATGGTGAGCAAACCGATCTATTGGTAGAGGGCCTGGTATCTGTCCCAGAGGTACAGGGTTCAAATCCTACCAGACACCAATGGATATGACGATAATGCCGCGACCTCTAGGAGTCTAAGACTAGTCTGAAGTAATGTGTAAAAAATTCCCGGCTGAAACTTAACGTCCTAGGATGTGAAGGTAGAAAAAAATTAAATTGTAAACGAAATAATAAACTAAATCAGTTTTCCTGCTGATAAGGGCTCTTTCCTACCACAGACTTGCAGACTTCCATATTTTGTATTGTACTTATATTCTTTTAAAGTTTCTATTGATTTCATCACACTTTAGAAATGCAAAATATTTACAGCCCGCAATAATGCTTTGTACGAGAACTGCCCAAACATATACAGTATATATTACAACCCTACCACTATTCTACATTAATATTGCGTTTACCAAAGTACATTTTGTACGTTTATCCACATTTCGCTACCCGGCACCAGAAAGCAGCATTGATCCCATAGCAACGCAAACAGAGAACACAATCACGGTATGCAATACCTATGGAGTGGACGGACGGACAAACAATTGTTTTAGTCGGATATTGCATTCGGCCGAAGCGATCGATAGTCAGATGGATCAACCAATTACAGAACAGTTGTAACCCCCCCCCCCCCACCCCCACCTACCACTTCTCATAAGCGACACCTGTGCTCGTGGACATTGGGGGACTGTCCGGTGGAATTTTGAAAAGTTGTTTTATACATTTGTGTAATATGTTTTAGCGAACTCCCCTATAGAGGAGATATTGTAGGTGAAAAATACTTAGACCCGGGACCGATTTCGGTTTTTGATGACACCAGTGGCCAAAAACATTATTCGTAAAATCTATGGATAACAAACATATACACTGACCTCAAAAACTTTTCCTCCACGAAAATAGGATGAAGTTGTTTTCATAGTTCGTATGTATGTTTTTCCAATGGGGAGAGGAACAGAAATGGTAAAATATAACACGGTCTTTTTTATTTGAAAGTATTTACAAATACGCCTGAACAGGCTTAGCTAAATATCCGAGTCCTCGATGCATTCAAGGAGTAGTTTGTGCAGGCTTTCTTTATCTAAATGCGTACCTGAAACAGAAGAATCTAAGTTAGTTGTTGTTTAGTAGTTAACCATTATACTCTGTATGATTTAACCTGTTTTCTGACCAGCTACCTGGGATTGTCCCGGGCCTTAAACCGAGCTAAACCCCATCTAGGAGGATCAGGAGACAGGTTTCATCATACAGAGTATAATTATTGTTACTGCGATGAGTCGATAGCGTCACAAACCTCGGACCCAAAGCAGGTCCTGGTACCTGACCCTACTTGTCAAATCAAAATTCAACCCCCCCCCCAAATTAAAATCTATAGATATCCTGTATTAGTACTCACATTCAACATTGCATTAAAATCGGACCACAGGTGTAGTCTGTAGCACTCTACACATCCACACACACACTCACATCACTTCGAAAACAATTTTTTAGAATCCAGGGGGACCCAAAACAGATATTTCCACCGAAAACTCGAACTTGATTTTGACAACAATACTTTCACCACATGTTTCTCCACTTATACATAGTATGTATATTGAGAAATCTTTTTCGTAAAAATCTCTTACCTATAAAGATGAAGCGACAGCCGACTTGGTCCTCAGAATCCACTGATTGACAATCGTACATATCATACACTGCCTGGACTAGCACGGGGCGGGGCTCATCTGATAGCCTACACAGCGCCTGGAAATTACAAGAACCTTGAAAAAATGTGTAAAAATTCACAAACTCCATGGAAAAACACTCTAGGCACTGCTAAAATTCATTTACTTCGAGGACTTTTACTGGTCCGATTATACCACAACACCTGGTGGATTTCACCTGGCTGGTGGATTTGCCACAACACCATGAATTGTCCAAAAACTACAAAAGATATCCCTTACATAAGCAAGGGGAGGTCAACACAATACCTAAGAGTTACGGGAATATGGGTTTTCCAGCATTATACCTGCATGTACATGGCAAAAACATAAAAAATATCCAACAATCTATTACAAAATACTCTCTTTCAAATTCCAGCATTAACCTACCTAGAAGGAAATGAGTTAATCTTTCTACACACACAGTAACTATATGCTGTAAACATAAAAAAATATCCCACAAACTACAAAAATATCTCACGTGTCCCACGGGATGTAGACGCGTTACAGGAGCGTGGCTAGGGGGATGACAATGTACAACTGGATGACTTGATTACAACTAAACACGCGGCACGCGCCACTTTAATATCACTAATGTCGGGGGTGTTCTGGTGTTTTGGCAAGTGTAAAATCGACACGGCCGACTTGACACTCTGAGTGTGGGGAATGTTTAATACCGAACGGGAATTAATTCACCATAGTAAACACTGAACGGCGGCCAAACACTCGTGAAGGAGCTGCGACTTTGATCTGGAGTGTTGGTGGGGAAAACATATCAAACATGTGGGGAAACATATAAAGTATGTGGGAAAACATATGAAAGACGTGAGGAAACATATCACAAATGTTAGGAAACATATAAAATATGTGGGGAAACATATAAAGTATGTGGGAAAACGTATAAGAAATGTGGGTGGGGAAACATATAAAATAAGTGGGGAAACATAAAAATATGTGGGGAAACATAAAAATATGTGGGGAAACATAAAAATATGTGGGGAGACATATCAAATATGTGGGGAAACATATCAAATATGTGGAGGAATGGGGATGACAAATTTGTGCTTTGGAGGTTGAAAACAAAGGTTTAAGTTGGTTCACAGCTAAAACATTATTAATGAAAAACAACTAAGTTTTCATCGTCTCAACCTCAAACTTGTGTATCCACGCCAATTTTCAAGTTACACCTAAATTATTCAAACTATACCAAAACAATTCATATCGCTCATTACTAGTGCGATTCAACGGTTAGATGGTGGTTCATAGAAATGTTCGTAAGCGAAGGTGTGTACTGTGAAGCGCAGGGTGGCAAAGGGAGCTAACACAATAGTCTCCAGGCTTTGATCTTTTGGTGGTGATCAATGGAACAGAGGACTTCAGTATCAATATTGTCAGACCAGACCATCACAAGCCGAAGCGCAGAGTAGACGACGAGTCTAAACCCATCCTGGGTAGAAAATCAGTTACTTTATTAAATTAAATTTCCAGAGCACTTGAAGGAGTTCAGATTCTATTGCGTTGCCAAAGACACAGCAAAAAATCATTTCGAAAGTAAGCATATTGCTATCCTGTGAATTGATCACCGAACAAATGTAATTTCCACCACTCTAAGGACGTTATTCCTCAAACTCCACATTGCAGAATCGATCCGCGTACAAGTGCTCCAGCGAGAAACAAGGGAATCGCAAACTGTTTGGGAATTTGTCATCGCCCTTTGTCATTACGTAAAACGTAAAACCTGCGGTCTCTTTGGCGTCTCTACAATAATAACCGCCGAAAAGGGATTAGAAGCGAAAGAGAACAGGGAGAAGAGACGCGGAGAGGGGGGATGCGGCAGAGGAATTTACTTAGCAGCAATAATAGGTAATGGGGTTACCAAAATAAAATACCGCTTTGCAGGACTACAGTAATGTTATGCGAGCGGGCGACCAATGGCGGCGTCGCTGAGTGCGCGTGCGTCGTCACCATGGCAACCAACATGTCCGCACCTGTCTGACATTATATTGTTGCCGCTTGTGCAAATTAAAGTCTTTGGCTTTCATCTCCGATTGTTTACCGCTAGTCAAAGATTTGCCTTCGTCTTATTGTGTCTTGTGGTGAGGTGTTGGTGTGAAGGGCTGTTTGAAAACGCTCCAATTGAAAGTTGTTTGACAAGGGGAAACTGTAGGGTTGGGAAATGAAAGGTTTTGACACATACAGTGGGACAAAGACAGATTCAACAGTGACGAATTTGGCGACTCGAGATTACTCGAAAGTCAACAACTTTCAATTACCAAACAATTTCAAACTAATAATGGTAAAATTATAGAAAAGTAAACTAAGTCAAATACACCAATTAGTATCTGGCTGAAAAAAAATCCGTCACATACTCATTCTGCTTCTACCCTATATTTATATTTAACTGGTCTGGTTGCCTATACAGAGTGAATAAAATGTCAAGAGTCTCCAATATAACATTTTCCCAAGTATATATTCAGAGGCACCCTTTTTGGTGGTCGTGCAATCTTAGCAAGAAGTTTCATTTTATGATTTTGAAGTAATTGCCGCCCCAAATCATCAAGTTTTGGGTGACACTCAAAATTTTCAAAATAATAAAATAAAACTTCCTGCTTTTTGCACGACCACCAAAAGAACATCTCTGTATCTGTAGTAGATTTACTTACAAAAGTAGGAGATTGGTGACTCTTGACTTTTTATTCACCCTTATTGAACCTGTGCTTTCCAACTGCGGATGTTACTGCTAAAGGAGCAATCGCCAAAGATAAGATAAACAAAACAACCTTAGGTTAACAAATAATATATTTTAATTGGCTGGATGAAAGTAAAACACCAAAGCATTTTTAGACAAGTGTTTAAATATACACCCGAATTCGTCCCCATATTAGCAATTGTAATCATTTTAATTTCTTCCCCGTTTCCATGGAAACCGACCGATAAAATCAATGACACATAAATAAAATATTATGTCATACATTTTTATTCATATAGAAGACTGGACCTATTACGTGCCTGGTCCTCCAACACTCTGTTGTGGTAGATACAGTCTGTGTCAGTTTCTAAGGTCCAGGTGGCCGTGATCAAGCTTCACCCTCCGTAGGGTTTAGCTAAATTTACCGCAAAACAACTTAATTCCGCCCTCCAGCTACAATGCACATCGATCGACTGGGTCCTGCAGGGGGTCTTGGGCCTTCACACTTCCCATCGTTGCGTGTGACGGGTACTTAGCCATTCACATTTTCAATCCTTAGGACCTAGGGGTCCTTAGACATTTATATCTCCCATCATTAGATATATATTCACCCTCCCCATGATTAGGTGTGGGGTCCTTAGACAATCACACTTCCCCTCATTAGATATATGGGGTCCTTAGGAATTTACAACCCCCATCATTAGGTATTTGGGGTATTTAGACATTCACACCTACCAGCATTAGGTATATAGGGTCCTTAGACATGTATATCTCCCAGCATTAGGTATTTGGGGTCCTTAGACATTCATACCTCCCATCATTAGGCATTTGGGGTCTTAGACATTCATACCTCCCATCATTAGGTATACGAGGTCCTTAGACATTCACACCTCCCATCATTAGGTATTTGGTGTCCTAACACATTCACACTCCCCATCATTAGGTATTTGGGGTCCTTAGACATTCGCACTTCCCATCATTAGGTCCTTAAGCAGTTACATTCACCATAATTAACTCTATGTTGCCACTCACATCTAAAATCATTAATTCACATTAAACATCCAAACACGAAAATTTAATAAACATTTCCAGATGACAATATAATCCAGTTGTTCGTCGGCAAAGCAATAATCCGCCGCTAAACCGTTGTTATACGTCGGTAAATCAAAAGAATGCTGGAATTGGTCCATAACAGAGCCGAGTTCGCCCAGGCACGCCGACAACTGTAGTGGTGCCAACCTTGCCTCAATATTGTCCCATCATCGCCGTCGTTGGTACTACTGACAACCATCGTCCCCGACATTATTGTCGATGGAGGATTTTCCGAATGTTTATGTCATTTCGTAATAGCCTTGCCCTAGCAAGTTACTTTTTATGAGGTTGTAAGTAACAGTTATTTTGTTTCGGTCTAAAATTATGATAAAATAAGAGTATAAAAATGGTGTTATATTTTCAATTATATTGTAAGAAATAAATTAAAAGATATAAAAGAGATAGATATGAGAAAATACATCATATAGTTAGACGACTACAAACCCCATGTTATTCTTAGGGGGGATAGGTTAATTATTGTAGTTTGCTTGGTTGGATATATTTTGATAAAACTTGGCAAATTAATTTATTTTATACTAAGCTATTTATATTCAACTAAAAAACATTATTACCCTCCCCTTTAGCAGCAAACCTAGATACTCATTAATGCTAATTACATAAATTTGTGAAAAGAAAATCAGGCAATTAAGAATTCGCTTAATCTGCAGGTTTGCTGCAGCGGGGGTATTTGTTTATCAATTCGAACTGCACGATTCCAATGTTTTGATTAATATGTTTGAATTATGCCGTATAGTACATAGATGTTTTTCAAAACAAAGACAATATTGTAATTTTAGCAAAATTAAGAGAGCTAATGTTTCTACACCTATTATTCGAAACTGAATTTTCTTCCCGTTGCGAAGCACGGCTACTACAGCAGCTAGTAATAAGCATACAATGTAATTTGATTCCCCTTTCAATTATTGTGTTTTATTTTTTATTTTTTACTGTGTGATCAATAAGTGTAAGAAAGGGCCGCATAACACGAACTTTGCTTGCTTAAATTTAAAATTAATTAAGCCGTTTCAAAAAAAAACTCTACACCTGCAGAAATTTGAAAATGAATAAAAGCAGTTTTTTTCGGTACGGAGTCCCGTCGGAAATTTATCAAAATCCAAAGACGTTTGTGTGACAAATAAACCGATATTCACATACTGAGTAGCCATCACACAATATTTCAATCGTGCAATAATTTCCTTAATTTATTTAAGAATTGTAATTTGTTGAACACGATAACCCTTATGGCACGAACCTTGAATAGT